TTAATTGAAACTTTATACATTTTTAGCATCACTGGGCTTACAGTACTCTTGTATGGAGAAGCACGTCAGGAATGAGAAGAAGAAGGACCATGATGTTACTGGACTAACCAGTAGATGAAGGATTTAGGTCATCTATAAGGCCTCGTTTAGACTATTGGTTTGGGAACATTAAAAATGTGCAGTTGAGTCTCATTTTTAGAGCCCCCCCAACCGCACCCCTCAGCGTTGTAGTAGCAATGCTTCTGCAAAATCTGTCCAACATGTTGTAAACAGTGGGCAGCAAGCCTGTTGATCGCAACCCATAAAAGCAACTGAGGAAGCACCACAAACGCTGCAACCAAAAGCATGCGGTTGTTTAAGCAACAATGGGCTCCTCCTCATCACCTCTCAATTGCCCGAAAGCAGATCACTTAGGTAGACATGGGTTTAAATCTAGCCTTAGCATATTTGAGGGAGGGGCTTTATAAAAGGGATGGGGAGGATGTCATGAACCTGTGGTAGTGAGCCCTTGTAGACCGCCAACTTGGGGTTCCCCAGGGTGTGGAGTCTAAGCCGCAGCCTGCTTCTTCACCCTGATGGTGGAGATGGACTTGCAGCAAGCTGGAACCAGGTTGCGGCCCCCAGGTATGCCCAGCTGAAGACACGGGAGACCAATCGCGTGAGCAGAGTGTAATCCAGGAGACAACAGGCAAGCCGAGGTCAGGACCGGTGGAGATCAGCACAGTCAGTGAACGAAGCTGGGGTCGGCGCACGGGTAGTCAGATACAGGATACAAGCGTAGCAACAGCCAGGAGCTCAAAGAACTAAGAAGTTGCTCAGGCAAAGTGGCCTAGACTGAGCATGTCTTATATAGACAAGCAAACCAGGAGGCGGGCCAGGAAGTGATGGAAGGGAAGGAAATAAAACCCAAAGAATAGCGGACGACGCCCATAGGTGACCACAGACAAACCACACATGTGAAAGGGATCAGGAACAGCACTGTAGCAAGGAGGGAAGAATACACAAACAAAAAACTGCAGGCTAACTTGTGACAGGGGGGATTGAAAAAGACGTGTGCTTTACATAGACCTTCTGAAATAATAGTAGATAAGCCTGCCTAAACACAAGGCTTGGAAATAGACAGTGCAACCTCCTCCTCATGCTACAATCAATAGAGAGTCATTGCAAAGGCAGGCTGAGGATGTCCGTTGACTATTGATTGGAATCAACAGGTCCTTTATTGGTCAAGTTCCTGCTCATGTGACCTTAAAACAGTCATGTGATTTACAGATTTGTGCATTATATGCTGAAATCAAAGGAGACTTCTTGCACTTCCGCTTGGTCATGTGACTGGAGCTGGGGAGGAGCAACCTCTTGCACTTTGAACTGACAGGCTGCAGCAGTGGCTCCTGCCTTATGTGCCCATCAAGGCTCTCAGCACTAGCTGCTTGCGTGTGCCATGGATGATCTGTGGGGGTTTGCACCCCCTCTATCCCCCACCTCATCTACGCTTCTGTCAAACAGTGTTATGTGCTTTACCTAGTTTCTCTCTATGGACTACAAACAGGCATTTGCTCTCTTCTTTACAGTGACATCTGCTTATTTAAAGTTTAATTTTTGCAACAGAGTCGCTTTAAAAAAAGCCTCACAAGACCTCCATGTTGCAGCTATCGAAACCAGCATCTCCATTTGCACCCCCCTATCCCCCACCACATCTACGCTCCTGTCAAACAGTGCTTTACCTAGTTTCTCTCTATGGACTGCAAACTGCCATTTGCTCTCTTCTTTACGATGACATCTGCTATTGAATGTTTAATTTTAGTGACAGAGTCGCTTTAAGAAGCCTCACAAGACCTCCACGTTGCAGCTATAGAAACCAGCATCTCCATTTGTACCCCCCTATCCCCCACCTCATCTACGCTCCTGTCAAACAGTGTGGTGTGCTTTACCTAGTTTCTCTCTATGGACTACAAACAGGCATTTGCTCTCTTCTTTACAGTGACATCTGCTATTTAAAGTTTAATTTTTGTGACAGAGTCGCTTTAAGAAGCCTCACAAGACCTCCATGTTGCAGCTATCGAAACCAGCATCTCCATTTGCACCCCCCTATCCCCCACCACATCTACGCTCCTGTCAAACAGTGCTTTACCTAGTTTCTCTCTATGGACTGCAAACTGGAATTTGCTCTCTTCTTTACAGTGACATCTGCTATTTAAAGTTTAATTTTTTGTGACAGAGTCAATTTAAAAAGTCTCACAAGTCCTCCATGTTGCAGCTTTCGAAAAAAGCTTCTCCGTTTGCACCCCCCTATCCCCCACCTCATCTACACTCCTTTCAAACAGTGCTTTACCTAGTTTCTCTCTATGGACTGCAAACTGCCATTTGCTCTCTTTTTTACGGTGACATCTACTATTCAGTGTTTAATTTTTGTGACAGAGTCGCTTTAAGAAGCCTCACAAGACCTCCATGTTGCAGCTATCGAAAACCAGCATCTCCGTTTCTTTCATTTCATCCCTGCAGGATATAATATATATTCATTTCCTGGCACTGATACAATGTCTCACACGGTTCAATTAAATTAGCAGAATGTAAACAGATGACTCGGACTGGCTGTAATATATTTTCATCACTTTATAGCCCTATGAAAAAAAAAAAAATAAATTCTTAATCCTCAAATACATCAACTGATGATGCTTAACAGAGTGGAACTAATTTACAGCGCCGTGAATACAGGACACTGTGTGCCTGATTAATATACTGGGGATACTGCAGTACAGTCAAATATCAAGTCCTCGTTTGCTGATATATACGGCTCCGGGGCGGCGCAGTTCGTCAGCATTCCTTACAGCAGAGCGAACGGGGGGGGGGTAGGGGAAACAGGATGACTGCCATTTATAGAAGGCACAGAACCCATATACAGAACCATGGTGTCGCGGCTAGAATTCTACCTTACATCATTGGCTATTTAGTTCAAATGCATGTCCAAGCATTACCCAAACCTACCCTCTAGACCAGGGGTGGGCAAACTTTTTGACTTGAGGGCCGCAATGGGTTCATATATTGGACCCGGGGGCCGGACCAAGAGTAGATGAATGATGTGTATGTGTCATCCATAGTAAGTATAGTAATATTCCCCCATAGTAAGCATAGTAATTAATCCCCCATATAGTAATTCATCCCCCATAGTAATTCATCCCCCATAGTAATTCATCCCCCATATAGTAATTCATTCCCCATAGTAATTAATCCCCCATATAGTAATTCATCCCCCATGTAGTAATTCATCCCCCATATAGTAATTCATCCCCCATTGTAATTCATCCCCCATATAGTAATTCATCCCCCCCCTATAGTAATTCATCCCCATAGTAATTCATCCCCCATATAGTAATTCATCCCCCATAGTAATTCATCCCCCATATAGTAATTCATCCCCCATATAGTAATTAATCCCCCATATAGTAATTCATCCCCCATATGGTAATTCATCCCCCATATAGTAATTCATCCCCCATACTAATTCATCCCCCATATAGTAATTCATCCCCCATATAGTAATTAATCCCCCATATAGTAATTCATCCCCCATAGTAATTCATCCCCCATATAGTAATTCATCCCCATATAGTAATTCATCCCCCATATAATTAATCCCCCATAGTAATTCATCCCCCATATAGTAATTCATCCCCCATAGTAATTCATCCCCCATAGTAATTCATCCCCCCTATAGTAATTCATCCCCCATATAGTAATTCATCCCCCATATAGTAATTCATCCCCCATAGTAATTCATCCCCCATATAGTAATTCATCCCCCATAGTAATTCATCCCCCATAGTAATTCACCCCCCCTATAGTAATTCATCCCCCATATAGTAATTCATTCCCCATAGTAATTCATCCCCCATATAGTAATTCATCCCCCCTATAGTAATTCATCCCCCCTATAGTAATTCATCCCCCATATAGTAATTCATCCCCCATAGTAATTCATCCCCCATATAGTAATTCATCCCCCATATAGTAATTCATCCCCCCTATAGTAATTCATTCCCCATATTAATTCATCCCCCATATTAAGTCCCCAAGTCCCCCCTGTGTCAATTCACTTACCTTTGCTCCGCGCGTTCCTCTCGCCGTGTTCCCGCGCCGTTCCGGTGTAGCATGAAAATCTGTCTCCTATGAGGATCTGTCCCCCTCGACGTATCTGCGCATGTGCCAGTTTCAGGCATTAGCAGCCGATTGGCGATCTCCGGCACATGCGCAGATACGTCGAGGGGGACAGATCCTCATAGGAGACAGATTTTCATGCTACACCGGTCTTCAGGGCGGACTGTGAGAGGAGCCTAGCGGGAGCCTAGCTCCGCGGGCCGGATTAAAAGGTCTGCCGGGCCGTAGTTTGCCCATTGCTGCTCTAGACCCCTGGTGCCCAACGTGAGGCCAGGGTGTTGAATGTGGCCCACCTCTTGTGCATCCCTGATGGCCCCCCAAAACAGTAGTTTGGTTTTCCTTACTTAGGCTTGGGCTAGTGAAGGAAAAAAATACTTTGGAAACTGCCTTCCAGGCATTCACAATCTCTACCATTTCCTGTAGTATGTTCTGTACGGCGTCTTTGATCTTCTCTTGTTGTATATCTGTATTCTCCTGCATTCCTTTGTAGAATTACATTGACCATTGTAGCCTGAGGTGATGTCCGGGACCACACTTAACCTGATATTAAATGTGTTTTTTAAGCCCTTTCAGCAGCTGAGTATTCAACTTCTTCATCCTTTATTCCTTGATTATGTTCCAGTGTAAATTGTTACTAAACCCCGGACCCTGCATTCACTATATCTGGTCTCCCCGGACCCTGCATTCACTATATCTGGTCTCCCCGGACCCTGCATTCACTATATCTGGTCTCCCCGGACCCTGCATTCACTATATCTGGTCTTCCCGAACCCTGCATTCACTATATCTGCTCTCCCCGGACCCTGCATTCACTGTATCCGCTCTCCCCAGACCCTGCATTCACTATATCCGCTCTCCCCGGACCCCGCATTCACTATATCCGCTCTCCCCGGACCCTGCATTCACTATATTCGCTCTCCCCTGACCCTGCATTCACTATATTCGCTCTCCACCCAGACACTATATTCCCTGCATTCACTATATTCGCTCTCCCCTGACCCTGCATTCACTATATTCCCTCTCCCCTGACCCTGCATTCACTATATCTGCTCTCCCTGCACCCTGCATTCACTATATCCGCTCTCCCCTGACCCTGCATTCACTATATCCGCTCTCCCCCGAACCTGCATTCACTGTATCCGCTCTCCCCGGACCCTGCATTCACTGTATCCGTTCTCCCCCGACCCTGCATTCACTATATCCGCTCTCTCCGGACCCCGCATTCACTATATCCAGTCTCCCTCTTTGGACCCTGCATTCACTATATCGGGTCTCCCCGGACCCTGTAGTATTCACTACATTTACTATATTCCGGTCTATATCCCTCTCCCCTGCATTCACTATATCCGCTCTCTCCCGGACCCCGCATTCACTATATCCAGCTCTCCCCGGACCCTGCATTCACTATATCGGGTCTCCCCGGACCCCACATACATTTACTTCATTATATCCGGTCTCCCCATATCCTGCATTCACTATATCCGCTCTCTTTGGACCCTGCATTCAAATTTCGCTTTATATATCCGCTCTCCCCGGACCCCGCATTCACTATATCCGCTCCCCCCAGGACCCCGCATTCACTATATCCGCTCTCCCCGGACCCCGCATTCACTATATCCGGTCTCCCTGGACCCTGCATTCACTATATCTGGTCTCCCCGGACCCTGCATTCACTATATCCTCTCTCCCCGGACCCTGCATTCACTATATCCTCTCTCCCCGGACCCTGCATTCACTATATCCGCTCTCCCCGGACCCCGCATTCACTATATCCGCTCTCCCCGGACCCCGCATTCACTATATCTGGTCTCCCTGGACCCTGCATTCACTATATCTGCTCTCCCCGGACCCCACATTCACTATATCCACGCTCCCCGAACCCCGCATTCACTATAACTGGTCTCCCACAGTACACAGAACATGGAAATGCAATCATTTTAGTAAATATAAACTGCTAAATACCTTTTCTCATCAGCAGTATGAGATATGCGACAAGGAAGCTTTTATGTGTATCACACACCTAGTTGCCGACCTCCTTGTATTTGAATGGATGACAACACTGGGTAATATTTCGGGTCAGCAGAGGCACTATGTTGTCATCCCAAACAGAAGTTAGGAGCTCATTGGATTTCTAGGCGATCGGCAGATACTTTTCCTGTACCTGCAGCTTATAAGAAGGATAAAAACACATGCATTTTTTTTACCCCTGACATAAACTCCCAGTCCCGACCAAGGGCGCCATCTTGAAACCAATTCATACCATTGCCTACTTTCCCTTCCAGTCCCGACCAAGGGCACCAGCTTGAAACCAATACATACTGTACCATTGCCTACTTTCCCTTCCAGTCCCGATCAAGAATGCCAGCTTGAAACCAATACATAGTGTTGCCTGCTTTCTTTCCCAGTTCCGACCAAGGGGACCAGCTTGAAACCAATACATAGCATTGCCCGATTTCCCTTCCAGTCCTGAACAAGGGCTCCAGCTTGAAACCAATACATAGCATTGCCTGCTTTCCCCTTCCAGCTCCGACCAAGGGCACCAGCTTGAAACCAATACATACCGTTGCTTGCTTTCCTTTCCACTCCTGATCAAGAGTGCCAGCTTGAAAACAATACATACCATTGCCTGCTTTCCCTTCCAGTCCTAACCAAGAGTGCCAGCTTGAAACCAATACATACCGTTGCCTGCTTTCTATTCCAGTCCCGACTAAGGGGGCCAGCTTGAAACCAATACATAGCATTGCCTATTTTCCCTTCCAGTTCCAACCAAGGGGGCCAGCTTGAAACTAATACATAGTGTTTCCTGTTTTCCCTTCCAGTTCCGACCAAGGGGGCCAGATTGAAACCAATACATACCGTTGCTTGCTTTCCCTTCCAATCCCAACCAAGGGCACCAACTTGAAACCAATACATAACGTTGCCTGCTTTCCCTACCAGTCCCGACCAAGGAGGCCATATTGAAACCAATACATACCGTTGCCTGCTTTCCCTTCCAGTTCTGACCAAGGGGGCCAGCTTGAAACCAATGCATAGCGTTGCCTGCTTTCCCTTCCAGTCCCGACCAAGGGCACCAGCTTGAAACCAATACATACCATTGCCTGCTTTCCCTTCCAGTCCTGACCAAGAATGCCAGCTTGAAACCAATACATAGGGTTGCCTGCTTTCTTTTCCAGCTCCGACCAAGGTCGGCAGCTTGATACCAATACATACCGTTGTCTGCTTTCCCTTCCAGTCCTGAACAAGAGTGCCAGCTTGAAACTAATACATACCATTGCCTGATTTCTATTCCAGTCCTGACCAAGGGGGCCAGCTTTAAACCAATACATTGCGTTGCCTGTTTTCCCTTCCAGTTCCGACCAAGGGGGCCAGATTGAAACCAGTACATAAAGTTGCCTGCTTTCCCTTCCAATCCCAACCAAGGGCACCAACTTGAAACCAATACATTGCGCTGCCTGCTTTCCCTACCAGTCCCGACCAAGGGGGCCAGATTGAAACCAATACATACCGTTGCCTTCTTTCCCTTCCAGGTCCGACCAAGGGGGCCCAGCTTGAAACCAATACATACTGTTGCTCGCTTTCCCTTATTGTCAGCATACCTCGACAGGCCATTGTTCCCCCAAAGTTTCTCTGGCTGTCTCCTATGCCTCATTCTTAACACTTAGTATTTCATCTACTGTTCATTCAAAACAGGAACTACTAACATCAAAATTGTGATTGCAACCCTCTATTCACCAAATGTACATTCTGTTCCTGCTCCAGTTTCAAGGGTGCAGTATATATAGAGTTCAATAGGAAAGAAGCTGCATGTTGTCACTCCTGAAAGCTAAAATCAACTTTATTGTTCTGGCTCTACAGGGCGCACTTCACCCAGCACCTCCTACTGATGCATTTCACCCTGTACTGGGACTTTCAGAACCAAATATTGCAAGACATCACATCAGTGCTAAAGTGTAGTAAACCAATGGATCAATCATACGACTGAAGGACTGGCTGGCTCCTTGATAGTATTATTATTATTATTATTATTATACAGTATTTATAAAGCGCCGATAGTTCGCTCAGCACTGTACATTACAAAGGGGGACAGAACATGGGACAGAACAATACCAATACAATGCAAAACATGAGGGGATCGAGGGCCCTGCTCTTTCCAGCTTACAATCTAGGAGGGAGGGGATGGTGGCACAGGAGGAGATAGCTGTGGGGGATGGAGTGGTAGGAAGAGTGGAGGAGGTCGGCAAGTTAGCAGGGGGTGGGGTAGGCTTCCCGGAAGAGATGGGTTTTAAGTGTGCGCCTAAAGGAGAGGAGAGTAGGTGATAATCTGATGGGTTGGGGCAGGGAGTTCCAGAGGATCGGTGACACCCTGGAGAAGTCCTGGAGGCGGGCATGGGAGGAGGAGACCAGGGAACTAGAGAGAAGGAGGTCTTGTGCGGAGCGGAGTGTGCGTGTTGGGCGGTACTTTGATATTAGGTCATTGATGTAGTTCGGGGCAGTATGGTGGACGGCTTTGTACGTCAGTGTTAGGATTTTGAATTTTGATCCGTTGCGCAATCGGAAGCAGTGGAGGGATTGGCAGAGGGGGGTGGCGGAAACGGAGCGGTTGGAAAGGTGAATTATGGTAGCATTATAGGTAACGCTGAAGGAGCGTTGTGACAGGTAGGATGAGAGCCAGGAGAGAGCAGAATCTCTGAGGCCGAGGGAGTGTAGTTTTTTGAGGAGGAGGGGGCGGTCGACTGTGTCGAAGGCCGCAGAGAGGTCAAGGAGTAGGAGCACTGAATAGTGGCCATTAGCTTTGGCGGTTAGCAGGTCGTTGGAGAGTTTGAGTAAGGCGGTTTCGGTGGAGTGTAGGGGACGGACGCCAGACTGTAGGGGATCGAGGAGGTGGTTGTCGTTGAGGTGAGAGCATAGGCGGGTGTAGATGAGGCGCTCGAGGAGTTTAGATGTAAATGGGAGCAGGGAGATGGGTCTGAGGTAGACAAATTTCAGACCTTGCTGCCCTCTTCAGTTTGGGGGGGGATCCTTAGGAATAAACTGCAAAAGAACAAGGAGGGGAACCAGCCTCGTGCATTACCTTAGACACCATTTATTAATAAAGGAATAAAATAATGCAAAGGAAAGAAAAATAATACTTGCAAATGCATGACCTTTGTGAGTATTATTTTATTCCTCTACTAATCAATGGTGCTTAAGGTAACACATGAGGCTGGTGTACCCTTCTTGCTGCTTAATTCCAAGGATCCCACTGGGGCTTATTCATGGTTTCTACTATTAATCCCCAGTAGGGGCTGAAACACTATAGATGAGGAAAAATCTAGATAGATGAACTGTGAAATAAGACCATCTATATTGATAAGTATAAAAACCGCATAAAAACAACCGAGCCCCATGGAGGAAAAACAGTATCCTCAATGCATTTCATGCTACAGCAGTGCGAAACGCGTCGACCATCCTCTGTTCCCCCTCAGGGCTCAGTTGCTTTTTATGCTGATTTATACTTATCAGCAGGGCTTTTTTTCAGCGGGAACGCGGGGGAACGCAGTTCCGGCACCTGCAGCACTGGATGTATGTAATGGCAAGGGGTGCTGAGGTGTGCGAAAGAGACTTTTGATGCTGTCGCAAGTTAGCCTGCAGTTTCTTGTTTGTGTATTCTTACCTCCTTGCTGCAGTGCTGTTCCTGATCCCTTTCACATGTGTGTTTGCCTGTGTTCGCCTATGAGCATCGTCTGCTGTTCCCTGGGTTTTATTTCCTTCCTTTCCATCACTTCCTGGCCATCCTCCTTGTTTGCCTGCCTATATAAGACATGCTCAGTCTAGGCCACTTTGCCTGAGCAACTTCCTAGTTGCCGTAGCTCCTGTGTGTTGCTATCTCCTACTCGTGTACCGACCCCGACTTCGTTCTCTGACTGTGCTTGTTTTCCGCCTGTCCTGACCTCAGCTAGTTTTTTTCGGATTTCCATTTGTCTCCTCCCATTGTACTCTGCTTCCACAGGTGGTCTCCTCATCCTCAGCTGAGCATACCTGGACACCACAACCTGGTCCCAGCTTGCTGCAAGTCCATCCCCACCATCAGGGGCTCTGGTGAAGAAGCAGTCTGGGTCTTAGACTCCGTGCCCTGGGGAACCCCAAGTTGATTATCTACAAGGGTTCACTACCACAGGTGCTGACAGATGCTGGCTGCTGAGATATCAAATGTTGCTGGAGAAGGTCTATTTTTGTAGAGGAGGGTCTATTGATGCTGGTGGGGGATCTATTGTTGCTAGTAATTGGTCTTTTGTTCCTGGTCATTTGTTGCTGTGAGGGATCCATTGTTGGAGGGAACGTGTTTTGTTGTGGGTGTTCCATTGTTGCTGGGAAGATCTACTGGGGGGATCTATTGTCGCTGGCTGCAGGGGATCTATTTTACTGCTTTTCTTGTTATCATTACCAAATTCAAATTACTTAGCACCACAAACTGATCCCTGGGACTGTATTCTATAAAAGGGGCAGTACTGGGAGGTGGGTAGGGAGTTCAATCAAGGAATGGTGCTCGGAGGTAGGTAGGGGGCAGAGACAATGGGTGACTCGGAAGGGGGGAGATCCTGCACCTATTCTCTGAGAAGAAAAGAGCTTCCTATCAGTAAAGTTTGTTCTATTTCGGAGTGCAACAACCGGATATTTCCTCATGTAAACTGTTCAGCGTGAAGAGCTGTGCTTAGCCCCCGAGTGGGAGGTGTGTGGGATCCTGGTGAGCAGCCCAATTTTGTTTACAAGTAAGATGCAGGGGTGGACTGACAACTCATGGGGCCCCCAGGCAATAGGGGATCATGTGGCCTCTGTGTCCTTGCCCAAACTCAAAAAAGCCTATGAAAAAGGTACCAGGGGCATCTCTCATGGGGCCCCCTACTGACCCCAAGCCCTCGGGCAGTG